TTGGTTTACAATCACCATATGAACACAACCACAGTGGTTTAGAATCTCAACATGAATACAATAGTGGTTTAGAATCTCCATAAGAATACAGTGGTTTACGATCTGCATATGAATACCAGTGGTTTACGATCTGCATATGAATACCAGTGGTTTACAATCACCATATGAATACAACCACAGTGATTTACAATCCCATATGAATACAACCACAGTGGTTTACAATCTTCATATGAATACAACCAGTGGTTTACAATCTTCATATGAATTCAACCAGTGGTTTACAATCTTCATATGAATACAACCACAGTGGTTTACAATCTTCATATGAACACAACTACAGTGGTTTACAATCTTCATATGAACACAACCACAGTGGTTTACAATCTTCATATGAACACAACCACAGTGGTTTACAATCACCATATGAACACAACCACAGTGGTTTACAATCTCAACATGAATACAATAGTGGTTTAGAATCTCCATAAGAATACAAACACAGTGGTTTACGATCTGCATATGAATACCAGTGGTTTACAATCACCATATGAATACAACCACAGTGATTTACAATCTTCATATGAATACAACCACAGTGGTTTACAATCACCATATGAACACAACCACAGTGGTTTACAATCACCATATGAATACAACCACAGTGGATCACAATCCCATATGAATACAACCACAGTGGTTCACAATCCCATATGAATACAACCACAGTGGCTTACAATCTTCATATGAACACAACCAGTGGTTTACAATCTTCATATGAACACAACCACAGTGGTTTACAATCTTCATATGAACACAACCACAGTGGTTTACAATGATTTACAATCCCATATGAATACAACCACAGTGGTTTACAATCTTCATATGAACACAACCAGTGGTTCACAATCCCATATGAACACAACCACAGTGGTTTACAATCACCATATGAGCACAACCACAGTGGTTTACAATCACCATATGAATACAACCACAGTGGATCACAATCCCATATGAACACAACCACAGTGGTTTACAATCTTCATATGAACACAACCACAGTGGTTTACAATCTTCATATGAATACAACCACAGTGGTTTACAATCTTCATATGAACACAACCACAGTGGTTTACAATCTTCATATCAACACACAGTGGTTTACAATCTCCATATGAACACAACCACAGTGGTTTACAATCTCCATATGAAAACAACCACAGTGGTTTACAATCTTCATATGAACACAACCACAGTGGTTTACAATCTTCATATGAACACAACCACAGTGGTTTACAATCTTCATATGAACACAACCACAGTGATTTACAATCTTCATATGAACACAACCACAGTGGTTTACAACCCCATATGAACACAACCACAGTGGTTTACAATCTTCATATGAACACAACCACAGTGGTTTACAATCTTCATATGAACACAACCACAGTGGTTTACAATCTTCATATGAACACAACCACAGTGGTTTACAATCTTCATATGAACACAACCACAGTGGTTAACAATCTTCATATGAACACAACCACAGTGGTTTACAATCTTCATATGAACACAACCACAGTGGTTTACAATCTCCATATG